ACAATACAATACAACTACCCCTCCCCTGGTCTCTGGTCTTAGTAGTATTGGACTGAATTAAACTAGCATTAAATCAGCTAGTTTCGAATCCTTCGCAAATTAGTTTCGAAAGGATTACTGAAACCTAGAATGAATCAAAACGTCAAGCGACAAGTAACATACGTCAAAACGATAAGTGACTTAGAACTATTTATACAGAATAATTACGGTGTTGAAAACATCTCTCACGAATGCCCGTGGCTAGAGATTTTCAATACGAGAAGATAACACCATGTTTATYATGATATAGCTGTCTATTGCCGGATTTCAAGCCGAGTGGGGACTGGGCAAAATCCCCTAATTGGCTAGTCATGACATAAGACTTACATAGAAAGAAAGTTCTTGTTGAGAAATGCAAAGTTCCAAAATTTGATGTAAATCAGTTCAATAGTGAACGAGTTACATCCTTTCAAACATTCTAAAATTTCCAGAGAAATGTACGTGATCTCGCGAATGTGTCCGGAAAATGGTCAAAATCCGGACACATTCACGGCTTTCCATACATTTCTTTGTAAATTTGAAAGGCCGTAACTCGTTCAATATTGAACTGATTGACGCCAGATTTTGGAGTTTTGCATTTCTTAACGAGGGCTTTCTTTCTATGTAAGTCTTATCTCGTGATTATCCAATTAGGGGATTTTGCCCAGTCCCCACTCGGCTTGAAATCCGGCAATGAAATCAAATTATGCTGTAAAAGTGATTATCTCCAATATAAAGAGAACATGACACTTACGGTAGATGATTTTAATAACTACTTTGCAAACCAAACGTACGAGTAGAAAGGACAAAACGAACTGAAGAACCAAATAGGTTTTCTACCGGCTGCTCATTTGGAAGAACAGAGTCATATATGTCAAATTCGCAGCCTCGTGCAAACTGAGCAACCAAATAAGATATTTTTTTCCATCTCTGAAAAAGTCGCTTGTTTTGGAAGATGTATATTGATGATTTATTAGACATAGCAAGCACAAGTAATAACAAAGTCGTTTTTGACCATAAAAACGTTGCATAAGCCTTTTTTGGACCTTGAAAACCTTTGTCAGGAACATATGTTGTGACAACTACATCCTCAATTTATGTGACAAAATTGAAAAAATCAATAGTTAAAAAAAATTCATACCTTGGTCAATTTCAATCCCACATCAACGAGTCTTTGAATTTAGATTTCCATTAGTCAGGCGCGTAGCGTGGACTTTTTATGCAGAGACCGCGACACATATTTTGGATCTGGGGTCTAACAACCGCCAAAGGCGGGAGTATTAAGGGAGTCTGGACCTCTCCCAGAAAATTTTGAAATAAATAACTCTTGGAAACGCGATTTCCCGCGTTTTGAGAGACATCGAAAATTATGAAAATTTTGAATGAAGTCCCCCCCTCTGTTTATTACGTAATTTTACTTTGAACCCCCCCATCTTGCCATTAATTTTATGTTATGTCCCCCCTCTGGTTTTACGGCCCCCCGTCTTGGTAATTCTTGCACAGTCCCTGAGGGTATAAATCACTTATTATTTCCCAATCGGACATTCATCGGACATTCACCATTTTTTTTCGAAAATCTTCCTTGAAATAGTTATGCACGTTCCTTTGAAAAAAAAAATTCAATGAATTCAATGAATTCAATGAAAACAAAGATGGCGCCTATTGAAATTAATCAAAAAAAAAAAAAAAAAAAAGACTGACAAAACGACAGTGCATCAGCTCTCTCAGTTCAAACCTATATCTGGATAATCCTAATGAAGGCATTTGAGCACAAACAAATCTAACAGATCAAAGTTATGTGGCGGGTACTGCCAAAATGCAACGTTTTAAGTATTTTCAGCAACATATGGAACTTATGGGGGACAAATAGTCCGTGATCACTCAAGCTTGACCTGACAGTCCGTATGAAGTGCCAAATTTGACGAAAAAAGGCCAGATTTCAAGGCTTTTTGAAGAAATGCGGCGACATTAAAAACAATCCTAAAAACCTAGCACCGGATTTAAGAAATAAAATATATATGCGACCTTTCTGGGTATTTTTCGTGAGAAAATTCGAAAATCCAATCATGTATTTTTGCCCTTGAAGAGTTGAAGTTGAGCATTAAAATAGTATGGCGATCCATGTTTTCACCACAGTTCGCTCCAAAAAACTGGGCCTCGCGCATAACTTATTTTGTTAATAAAAAACCTAGCACCGGATTTAAGAAATAAAATGTATGTGTGACATTGCTGTGTATTTTTCGTGAGAAAATTTAAAAATCAAATTACGTATTTTCGCCTTTGAAGAGTTGGCGTTGCTTCGCATCCGTTTGCGTTTCGGGATTCCTGTCCCGACGATGAACGGATGCAAAGGAGACTACTTCTGTAGGCACAAGCAACAAAAATCAAACTTGAATTTTTCAAATTATTGCTTTCTTATTATATGTTGAAAATGTACTCAAAACTATGCAGTTTTGTTTTTCTTATTATATGTTGAAAATGTACTCAAAACTATGCAGTTTTGTGTTAATTCAATATTTGAAAAATTTATATCAGTCAGTGAACGTACTGTGATATTATATGTACATGTACTTTCCTTTCTAGAGGTGACTTTGCTATTAATAGTATTTTATGGTCAGATGATGATGTTAATGAGGTCGATCGACGACAAAATATTAATTAACTCCATTGTATTATATTTCATGAAGTAAATAAATAAATTACATGCATATATACATGCATGCATGGATGCATGAGTGAGCCTGGACAATAATCCAAGCAAATGTCACCCGATGTATGGCAATAAGTTCCATATGATGCACCGAAGTCGAAGGTATTGGGGGTAGTGAGCTAGGCCTGTACGCGTAGTCAGTACATGTCTGTTTGTGTGCCAGTACAGTTATCGGGTATGGCCTCAATTAAATTTGGGGTCGGAGAGGCTGTTCGCGTGAACAACTCGTCTGACCAAAAATCCTAGCCCGAACGAGTCCCAAACCTAAGCCAAACCCAAAGTAAAAACCTCATCCTAGCCCTAATCTTAATCTAGGTCAGCAAATCAAAACCTAGCCAACATTTACCCTATAACCTAAGCTTTAAGCCAAGTAGTGAAAAACGTGGGTCACGTGACACCGATTTTTGAGATTAGCCCAATTCTTACGGTAACAAGTTTGTCGATTTTGGAGTATTTGTTTGTGTTAGAATTCTATAAATTGTTTAACTTCCAAATAAGGTGCTGTCAATCAAACTATTGTCAATTCACTGAATACCTCGTGGAATATGTATTTCAATAATGCCCGGCGAAATTGAGACAGCTTGCTAGATTAGCCAGCAAATTCGCCTAACAAGATTTATAAGTGCATGTTTTAAGTCATTTGCTGTCATAGGAGCCCCTACGAATGCATCATTAAGCTTGACTAAACGGCAAATACAATCTTATGGAAGAAGTCTGAGGTGGAAGCGATATTTCGAAGCCTAGAGCGGCGGTAAACCGAAGTTCGCTTTTAATTGTTGTCGTTAGAGAAAGGTGCTTCCCTAGTCGTCCTGTGGCACATTTCAGAACCTACCAAGGTAAATTTGGCAAGTTTTAACATCCAAAGAATGCAATCGATGCAATATTTTGCCTGTAGTTGTGCGTGACTTGGCACTTAGAAAAAAGTAGTAAAGTAAAATTGCTGGCCATTTCTTGTCTCATTGACATCAACATTCC